ATGTGCCCAGGTGAGTGAATGTGGCCGGGTGGGCGATGCGCCCAGTGAGCTCGGGTCTAGTTACGGGTCCCAGGGCTGCTGGGCTTCAGGCCCTGCGACATTGAGGCCCTTTGAACAGAGGTTCAGGCCGAGGCTCTCCGTGGGGTTTGGAAGCCTTGCTCAGTTGCTGGGCACGGATGCCAGAGGGGTTGGGAGGCGCTGATGTGGGGTAACCAGGGCAGGAACTCTTCCAAGGCCTGTAGCTCAGTGGCTTATTTAACCCTCCCGACATTTCCTGCCCCTACAGATGTGTCCGGGGTCTTCTCTGGCCGCTGGCAACGGATGTTATAATACTGAGCCCTGCCCTGAGTGCAGGGGACTGGGCGAGAGACCCCTTGAGGGCCCTTCCGGTTCTATGCGTCTATGTGAATTGGAGGTGAAAGCAGCATTCATTGAAAAGGGAGTTGGGGGTGGGGGCGCTGGAATGGGAATGCGACCAAGAGGAACTCCCCCCTGGCCAGAGCTGCAGGGGCCGTGGGCTGGACGCAGCGGGAAAGGCAGGAGTGGCACAAGTCTCTGGGGCGAGGAATTCTCTCTCTCATGGTTTGCACAGTGACTTTGCAGCAGGTGCAAACAGCGAAGCCGGCAGGCAGCACACAGCCCTGCCGGCCAGGCCCTGCTTTGTGGGTGAAAGTTGACGGGAGCTGCTTGGCTCCGAGGGAGAACGTGCCGCTCAGACTGCGTATGCTGGGCAAGCGGCAGCCGGCAGGCGTGACTCAGGGCTGAGTGATCAGGATATTTTTCCCGCTCGCTCCAGTTACGTGGCTGCTGATTCAGTGTTCACTGTGTCGCCCCGGCCCTTTGCTCTTGGCAAGGGCTCCCACGCCCCCGAATGCCCCTTCCTGCCCTGCCCTGCCCAGGCCCTCCAGTGGGCAGGAAGTAAGAACCAGGGAGCTCTCGAATGGGGCAGTGGAGACTGATGCTAAATGCAAAGTCAAGGTCTGCTGCATGCACCCTGGAGGGCTGGCTCCCCCAGTCCCATGGCAGGCACCAGCCCCCAAACGTGCCCTCCGTGCTGTGGGACATGACACCACTGGGTGACCAATGCAACATCATGCCAGGACCCGGCCAGTCCAGTACCGCCTCCCCACAGGGGATTGTGCCACAAACCTGTCACCCTGCTTCAAGGTTCCCTGGAGCAGGAGTGGGCCGGGGGTCAGGCCCTGGGAGGCGGGCCAGGGCTGGTGCCCTTGGTGGGGGAGCAGAGGGGCGGACTGCTCTCTGGGGTATTGGACCTTGAGCGGCGGGTTGGAAGTAGGTAAAAGGTGAGTGCTGGGTGCAGGAGGGTCACACGTGGGGCCAGGCAGGGCCTTCTTCCCCTTCCCCACTTCCCAGGCCTGCAGCGATGGGCACAGTCGGGGGGGAGTGGGAGAGCTGGGAGCACTCAGGGGGCTCATCCAGGAAGGGTGGTACACATGCTGTTGTGAAAGGAAGTCATGGTGACTGGGGAGGGGCAGTGGTGGCATCCAGCTACCCATGTGCTCGCAGTCTTAGGGGGCCCCAAGGCAGCAAGGGGGCCCTCTGAAAGCCAGATCCGGCCCACCAGGACCTTCCATTTGGCCCACCTGGCATCAGCTGCTCCATCCTGCTCCCCACTATGCAACTCCAGCTGCACCAGGGTCTGGCACCTGCACTCCCCTGCCCGGTCCCGGCTGCAGCATCGCGTGCTGACCCCCATCGCCCCACTGGCTGGGGGATCTTCTGCAGCCAGGAAGGAATGGGCCAGCTAGGGAGCACAAGGGCTGGAGCCTGAGGCAGCCGGAGCTGAGAAGTGAGGCCACCTTTACAGCGGGCCAGATGTCCCGATTTTATAGGGACAGTCCCAATTTTGGGGGGCTTTGTTTTATATAGGTGCCTATTACCCCCCCGGGGGAGGGGCGGGGGCAGGAAGGAAGAGCTGACACTTGCCGGGCCAAACAACAGGCCCTTGCTGGCAGCTTTGGCCCCTTTCCCCCCCTTGCAGAGCACCCTCCAAGCCAGCGGGTCCTGGTAGGGGAGCGGGGGGTGCGCAGAGGTGGGTCAGTGCAGTACAGGACTGGGCAGGGGAGCACGGGAGCTGGAGCTGCTCGGCGCCCGGGGCAGAGCACACACAGGGATGGGATGGGCTCTGCAGGTCACCCCCTGCTCCCCTGGGCCTCTGCCAGCTCCCCCACGGGCTCCATCTTCCTCCCAGTCCCAGGATGGGGCCCCAGAACTGAGCTTTGCAGGGCCCCCCACAGGGCAAACACGGCCACCGCCACTGGGGAGGGGGCACCCAAAGTGCCTTCCTGCTCCCCCTCAGCCCCATGCCCTCTTCCCCACCTCTACAACCTGCTCCTTCACTGACTTCTGACCCCCGCTCACTCCCGCACGGAGACAGTTCAGAACCCAGCCACTCAGGGCACCCCTTTGTGCAGCCCCAGAGGGAGGGGCTCTGCTGCCCCCTGCGGCCGGTCTCCCCAGACCCCCCTGCTAATGGAGAGACCCCAAACCTCCTCCCACACAACAGGCCCAGCTCAGTAGGCAAAAGGTCACAGCAAAGGGAGGTCACAGGAAAGCCGGGGCAGGGGCTTGTTTGAGGTGTGACCTGATGATGCAAACAGTGCACAGGAATGTAATGTACCATGCAGTCATCTGGCATTCAGCAGGCGTGCAACACAAAGGTCACATACACACTTGCAGGGGCACGGTGGGGAAGGGGGGAAGCGAGTTAAAGTAAGTGTGTGTGGGTCTTTGTAATGTGTCTGGCTGTGCGCTCTGCCTGACTTGGCGGGGTCCCAGCCTCTCCCCAGTTCTCCCCTCCCCTGCCCAAGGAGATGAGCTGGGGCGTCCCGATCCCATCAGTGCACACACACGGCCTGTGGCAACGCGCCCCTCGTGCTGCAGCGAAGGGGAATTTATCTGCCTGTCCCGATTGTGTCTGGACTCCTTTTATTTAAAGAGCCCACTCACAAATCACTGGTGAAAACACAGGAGTGGGGGGCAGGATGCCTGGGTTCTGTCTTAGACCCGCACTATGGCCACGTCACCTTTCTGCCCCTCATTTCCCCCTCTGTGACATGGATCTGTTAAAGGTACCCCGTCCACAGGAGTTCGCTGTGAGCCGGTATCAATGCTTCGAGGTGCTTTGAGATCTCTGGGTGGAAGGTGCTGTCTGTTCACAGAGCATCCGAATGTGTCACCCTGTGTCGGGTCAGGCTAGGCCGGAGCTGAAGTGGAGACAAAGACCGGGGCTCCCCGAGGGGTTTGGAACCCGCTC